GCCTGTGCACCTGTCACACATCTCTGTGCTCTTCTTCGACAACAGTGATAATGTGGTGCTGCGGCACTACGAAGACATGGTGGTGGATGAATGTGGCTGCCGCTGACCACCCGGGACACCCTCATAGGGACAGCCCCACGCGAAAGCAAGGACCATTTGTTCATGTTTTATTGGTGACAAAAAGCTTAAAACAAATTTGACCAAAAATTAAGTTCCATTGCGTTGACGCAGGTGTGCCTGGGTAGGGGTCGGGGGCCACTGCGGGAGGTTGGGGCAGAGCGCCCAGCAATCAGGCCTCCACCCACGATGGGAAGACCCCGCGGGCCAACACGCATTGGTCACGCTCAGGAGTTCGCCTGCAGCTTCTGAAGCTCAAACTCAAAACAAATCCTCTGGCCATGGTGCAGACGGTGATCCCAGGCTGCGGGGCTCAGGCTTCTCTGCGTTGCCTCTCTGGAAGCTTCTTGTATCTCCCAGGTCAACCACTAAGGTCTTAGAGACAAACTGATCAAAGTACTTCCCATACTCCTTTGAAAGAATCTCTGAAAACAAAACAAAACACCCCTCCCCCCAACCCCAAACACCGTGTTTTCTTTAAATGAAACCCCTTAGCGCTGGGACGTGCGCGATGACGCTCCTGGCCGCCCGCTCGGGCACAGAAACGCTTAGTTCGTCCTGCTAAAACGTAGCCCCTCAATCACGAGAAACAAAGAAAAAGAACAGCGGGCCGGTCCTGGCGAGGCCTCTCCCTCTGGCGGGCACGGCGCCGGGCCGGCCTCGCAGCGGTGCGGGCCTCTCTCCTCTCACCGCCCGCAGGGGGCGCCCGCTCCTCGGCGCTCCGCTCCTCTCCGTCGTCCTCCCTGGCCGCTCTCAGCTCGCTCTCGCTCCTCTCTCCTCTCCTCTCCTCTCCGCGGCTGCTCACACAGTGGTGCTTCAGTTTTAGCAGTGGAAAACAGGTATCCATTTATTTTTATTTTTTATTACCCAGAATAAGATGCTGATAGACTAAGCCACATAGCTTAGCTGTTCCGCCGCCACCTGTGATCAGGGACAGGGTGAGAGGCATCAGGGCCAAGTGGAGGCAGAACCTGCCCACACCCCGTATCTGTCTACACTAGTGTGTAGGCAGATAGCTGGGCCTACTAGGACACTTGCCTTCTAGTACTGGGACAGCCCGGTGACCCCGCCATGCTGGTATGCCCGCTCCCCCTGGTATGTGGAGTCTTGGGAGAGTGCCACATCAATCTGTGATTTAAACTCATCACCGAGGTAGCTGTCCTGAAAGGCAAAGCAAGAGTGAGCAAGGCAGGACACCCACCAGCCCACACCCACCCAGGAGTGAGACCCTGGAATATGGTAAGAATACAGCCTTAGTGGCGGGTGACTCGCCCTTCAGGAAGGTGCCCCATTCCCCCACCCCTCTGCCAGTATGCTGATGAGGGCCCACCTGGGACAGTTCTGGCTGGGAGAGGCCGGGCTGGCTCATCTGGGAGGGTTGGCTCATGGACACATAGCCCTGTGTGAGGGCGCCCTGGGAAAAGGGCTGTGAGGCCACATCCTGGCTGGCCTGGCTGTTGGGAAGGGTGGTCTGGCTGGGCCCAGGAAGCCCGAAGCGGTTCTTCTGGCGTCCTCCACGGCCAGTCTTGCTTTTTGGGGTACCCCGGCCTGAAAGACAGCAGTGAAAGACAGCAAGCTCTACCTAAGCCTATCAAGATGAGGACTCAGCATGGTGATGATACAGCCACTCACCAGCAGCTGGCCCATTGGCCTGTCCAAAGTATCCAGGCGGCGGCATGGGAGGCATGACCAAGTTGAAGGGAATGGGGATGTTCATGGCAGCCACATGGCTGGGACCTGCGCTGATCATGCCAATCTGGTCGTGGGTCTGGAAGTACATGTTTGATGGCCGGCCTGCAAGACACCTGGAGTCAGATGCAGGGTCCCAGAAGACAATGCTGCAGTGAACTAGCTGCTGGGCCAGCCAGCTAAGGAGACAAGCAAGAGATGGAGTGCGTCTCCCATGCAGGGTGCTAGTAGAGCGTAAGGAATTGACACAGAAGGGTAGGTGAAGCTCTGGCCACGTTGGAGCTTTCTAGGCAACTCAGAAGCTTCCAAAATGCAGAGGCCAGCTTGGTGGAGGTGGACACAGGCTTGCCTCCGAGGTGCCAGTACAAACCCAGAGCATAGGTTAAAAGCCTGGGAGCCTAGAAAGGGTCCAAGGGCTTGGTTGGAGAACCCACAAAGACTCACTGGGCAAGCTCCAGATGGAGGCAAAGGCCAGCCTGGGAGGCCACTGGGTGTGTGTGTGTGTGTGTGACAGATCCAGACTGGGACATGGGAAAGTCAAACATACTGCGGTTACCAGGAAGACTTACCCTGGCTGCTGCGGTCATAGACAGATCCAGGGATGATGGCCTCTCGGGCATCATACATGGCTGTAGTCATGAAGCGGGCCCCCTGCAGGGTGGCACAAGAGCGAGGAATGTGTCAGTCAACAGCAGCAGGGGCTAAGAGCTCCCAGCTTTCCCGGTCCCGGGCGGGGCCAGCCCGTTGGCCCACCGGGTTGACGGTGTTGACGAGCTTTCGAGGCTTGCTGAACTGCATGAGGCTCTCACGCAGGTTGTTGAGCGGCCCCTCCACCAGTGCCTTCTGCTCCTTGTAGTAGCTCAGCAGGTGGTTCCACAGCGGCTGCTTTGACAGCGCCTTTGGGTTACCCACAATGATCACGCCATACCTGCAGGGCAACCGACACACTGAGAGAGCTCACGGCCACATCCACTAAGCTTAGTACCCTGAATGTCAAGAGCTGGGTGCCAAGAACCAAACAACACTGGTCAACACTTGAGGTGGCACCTTAAAAAAAGGAGCAAGCAAAATCAACCCTGAACCAAGCAGAGTAGGAAGGCCATCTCAGATGTCTGCCTGGCTGGCTGTGGAGCAGGCAGCAGCGCCCTCGTGTCTGTTAGGGTCATGGAGTTGTGCCTGTGCTCCTGAACCAGTAATGCCATAACGACCAGCTCTTGGACAGGGGTGCCAAAGACACAAGGACACGTCAAGCCTGAGTGCACTTCCAGAACAGACACGGGAAGAATGGGGCGAAGGGAGGGGCTTCTTGTTGCTGTTGGGGTGGGTGGAAGGAAGGTGACAATGCGCAGCTGCCTACCTTGCTCTGGTGAGGGCCACATTGAGACGACGGGGGTCGTTCAGGAACCCGATGCCCTGGTGCTCATTGGCGCGCACGCAGGACAGGATGATGAAGTCCTTCTCCCGTCCCTGGAAGGCGTCCACACTGGCAATCTCCACTTCCTGAAGGAGAATATGTCCCATTAGCCACAGCCCTCCCTGCCTCTTCCTTCAGCTGCACTGGCAGGAGCTGCATCACTAAGTACGGTACAGCTGGACAATACAGGTCTGCAGTGATGGAGACACCACAGGCCCATCATGGAGAGGCAGAGACTGCGGGGGCTGCATGGTGCCAAACATTGGCCACGGTACAACCCAACTCAAAACTACCAGAGCTCAGCATCTGTCACATGCCTAGGACAATGTGCTTAGGGACAAGTACCATGTCCCCGAGGTGGCACCAGCTGTCCTGCCCGTTTAACCCTGCAATGCTCTCTTTTTGAGACAGTCTTACTGTGGAGTCCTGGCTATCCTAACGCTCATAGACCAGGCTGACTTCAAATTCACTAAGACCCACCTGCTTGTGACACCAGAGTGCTGACATTAAAGAAATGTGTCACCCAAGGTTTTACTTTGTAAAACCTCCAGCAGTCTGGAAGCTACTCTGATGCACTTACTGTGGCCAAAAGCTCTGACCCACAGCATACCAGGCAGCTTTGTACACGAG